GCCGCCGGCGGGCTTCTCGCGCTGCGCCGCGGGCCAGTTCCAGTGCGCCAACGGCACGTCGCGCGAGGGCCTGTACTGCGTGGCGGCGGCGGCCGCCTGCGACTCGGTGGCCGACTGCTCGGACGGGTCGGACGAGGCCGGGTGCGAGGAGCGCGGCTGCCCCGGCGCCTTCCGCTGCCGCAGCGGCCGCTGCCTGGCGCGCGCGCTCGTCTGCAACGGCCTGCCCGACTGCAAGGACGGCTCCGACGAGGACGCCTGCGGTGAGGCCCGGGGACGGTTCGCTTGCGTCTGCCCGCCTCTCACTCCTTCGGTGTTCCATCATTGACCATCATCGACCCTCCTCAACGCTTCTCATTGCATCCCATCCCATCACTTCTCTTCTCATCCTAGTTACCTAGTTAAATTGCATTCTATCTAACCTCATTCCATCTTCTCTCATGTCATTCCATGTTATCCCTTTCCTCTCTAAACAAAATCCACCTAAACACATGACATCCCATCCCATTCCATTTTACTGACTCCCTTCCCAACTTATTTTATTCTATCATATCCCTTCCCTCTTTTATTATCTTTTCTTATACTGTTCAATTTTATTCCATCTCATCCCATCACATCGCTTTTATCCCTCTCTTTGTATCTCATCTGATTTTATTCTATCGATTCCTACCTCACTCCCATCCCGTACTATCTCATCCTATCCCACTTAATTGTTATTACATCTTGCATTTCAACCTTTCTCACCTCGTCCCATTCCTTTTCAAATCATTATATTATTTCCCTTTCTTTCTTCACGTTCTGTTTTAGTTCATCGCATCTCATTCCATCTCATCCCATTCCTCTCCATATAAACTCTTCCCATCCCATCTCACCCCTACTAATTAAATCCCATCCGAAGACATCCATTCCTTTTATTCCCTCCCTTCACATCTTCACTCATCTCATCCCTTCCCATCGTATCCATCTAAAATCGTCATGTATGTTTACGATCATGATGCTCATGACCTGAAGTCGTTATTAAGAATTCGTTCTCTTAGCTTTCGCCTCCTCGTGGAGCGATAGTCCCGATTGATACAAGACGTCACTTGAAAATTCTGATCGCGTTTCTGTTCTGTGAAAGAGCAGCCCTCGTAGAGTGGGGTGGATAGCACCTCGTAGAGTGGGGGTGGATAGCACCTAACATTCAACATAAAAGCAATATCTCGAATGCAATCTGACGTAAAATATAGCATGAGAGTAGTTGCGACTTGATCAGGCAATAAAATCTCGACAACTTAACTTTAATATATCTAAAGCGTCACATGTTATAAGACTACAACGCGGGTAAGTGAAATAAACTTCTTTAAAAAGATACTCTCTTTTCTTCCTGCACGAGTTGGTGGGGTCCTCCCTCTCCCCCTCAACTCGCGACAGACTATTACAATCAATAGGAGCTCAACGAAATAACGTCCTGGCGTATTAACAGAGCGTATGAAGCTTTGCATCCATCACTGTTTCCCAGCACATACGTTTGTGTTTTTCATCTCAGAACGCACAAGAAAACCTCGCTCTGAGATTAAAGACGCTTGGTCAATTTCATGAAAACTTCTACAAATATCATACATATGTGACTGTCTCCCAATGGAGCTCAATGGTTAGTTAATTTGTAATGAGAAGGTTTAAAAATTATGCGCCATGCACTTAAAAAGATCCACAATCAAAATTTTGCGGCAGCAAATCTACCATTTGACATTCCTATTCTCATTCTAATTGTTCGCCATGAGTGCGCGCGGACCCCCATCGCCAGGAGGTCGCCGATGGCGAAATGGTGACGTCGTGATCGTGACGAATCGGGGCGTTTCCGCCCGCGGAGTCGTTCACCCGCGACTGCCCTTGGCCGAGCCTTTAGCCACAATGCATTGCGGGGCTCACGGCTCTCGGCCGGAGCTCAGGTCCACCTAAGA